AAGTGAACAAGTACTCCTTGGTTGAGAAGATCATTGGAGTCCGCCTAGGGCCAAAAACAGATATTGAGAAGACTATCTCCAAAGCGGGGTAAATACAAACTTAGTAATTCATTAGTGGCTGAGGAGCCCACGGTCAGTGTGGCAGATAAGATGGAACCAATTTGACCGCCAACAGTTCGCATCAGATTTAAAATGAGGAGAGGCCGATAAAGGCCGTGGAGCTCTTCTTAACAGAGACAATACTTGTTGATTTAGCATCAATTAATGGCAAGAGGAGCTTCTTCAACTTCCAAGAGGACTTGTCTGATTAGTATTTTCGAAAACGCGAAGGTTTCTCAAATCAGCATTAGGGGAGGACCGATCATATACGACAAGCTTTCACTACAAGAAAGAGTTTACAACGAGCCTTGCATATAGTTGCCGCTAGCTTCCCCTTCAAGCCTGTCGCCATTCTGTGTCCACCCATTAGAGATTTAACCCCCCCATTCTCATAGACGCCTTTATCACAGAGAGTTAGGTAAATAGGTAAAACCCTTTACGCTGCGATCTTCAGGCCCATTTCCTTTTGGAATGAGGAGTCGTGAGAGGCCAGAGTGGAAGGAATTGTTTATTCTGTACAGAAGGAGATGAGAATAGGTTAGAGGAAACTAAAAATCAGACGAGCTTGTCTCCGGCCGCGAAGTATGAGAGCGCGGGAGTCCTCAGATGCACCTCCAATGTGGTACTGTGTGAATCAACCTCGGAGAGAAGATTGGCCTGACCGGACTGTGGTAGGCCCACATGTGCGCACGTGCTACCAGTCGTACGAGGCGAAAGGTTGAATGCTGCTCCCGGAATGGGGTCACTACACCTTTTTCATCTGCAGCCAATCAGTGAATAAAAAACTTTGATTCACCGATGTAAAGCGAAGCGTGGTTCCAGCAAAGAATCCACCAAAAGCATGGGCCCAACCAAAAGGCACGAGGAAGCGTTTGCGTTGGTGACCAAGCGAGCAAACTACCCCGAATGGGAGCATGAAGCAGAAAAAACGTGACAGCGACCAGCGTGGGAATGAACTGCCACAGTAGTCACATGCTAGACCTAAGTTGGCAGGTGGCAACTCCGAGGGAATTGTTGATGTCCAAATGAACGTGAAGTCCACCGTTGGTGATATATACAGGGGAAACAGGAGGAGCTTCGGTGTGGCTTACGATTGGAGCGTTGGAGGTCGCTGAGGAGGTGGTTGTCGTTGGAAAATGCAAAGTTGGAGGAAAAGCGAATAAACGGAATGGTGTGAAGGCGAAGGAGCAGCAGGTAGATGTCCACATGGCCCGTTGGGCGGAGTGTTTGGGACATCGGATTAAAAGCGGTTTACGCTGACGACCTCCTTACGAGTTCCGCGCTGGATGTGGAAAGTCTTCGTCCATCGAGAAATAACCCGGAAGGAAAAATCACACATTTGTTCCAACGGCCGAAGAACTTGCTCACATCGAAGAAATAAGTCATCAAGTTGTTTTTGAGCTACGACTCGGAGATGGTGGGCTTCTGCATAAATTGTCGGAGACGGTTCAGGAGCTTCATAGGATCCTTGACCACATTGCGAGGGGTTGGCAATACCATCTCACCGAGAAGTCGGGAAGTGGAACCAAAAACGAGTTCAGTGGCGGAACGATCAAGGTATGATTTCAGAGCGAAGAAGATACGCAACAGTTGCAGTTCTACCGATCGGTCGCGGTACGTAGGGAGGGCTTCAGTTGACAGCGAAACCACTTAACCAGCCCGTTGGCAGCCGGCTGATAGGTTGTTGTGTGCATGCAAGTATAGCCTAAAACGGAGAAAAAAAAGGTTGGAAGAGATAAGATTCAAACTGCGCACCGTGGTCAATCATGATAGTAGAGGGGCACCAGGGATGACAGCCCAACGACTGAGGAACGGTCTGCCTGGTGTTGAACCTTCAACATCAGACAGAGGGATAGCTTCCGATGACCAGGTCAATTGATCCACACAG